GTTTGGTGGTATGTTCAAAGGTATACACTCATCAAGTGTTCATTCTCTTTCTGATTAGCAAGATATTTTTCCTGTGGTTTTCTCTTTGCTTTTTCCAAATGAGTATCTCACTGAGCTTGTAGAAATTGTTGCTGTTTTAAATATTAAATACCCCAACAAGCAATTGCATTTAACTCTTAGAAACTGATCAAGGGATGAATTCTTTTCTGATATGCTGTGGATGAAAGATATTATATTCACATAATGAATTTCTATATGTAGATTTTTTTATATATAAACTGGTCTTTACACTATTGTGCAGTGAGTAAAGAGGATGGCCTTGAAGAATAGAGGGAAGATCCATTACCAAGGCAAGGTAACGTTCAGATAAATGAGGCTTGAGTCCAAGCCAAGAAAGTGGTTTACAAAAATACCTCAGACAGTCCCCCCACCCCCTTAATTCTCATGAAGATAGAAAGGGGAGGAAGGAAAGCGTATTCAGACTTGCAAGATTCTGTTACTATAGTTGTTCTAATAAAAATGGCATGGTGTCTGTTTCTTAATCTGGTCTATCTTATATGGCTGACAAATTCTTATCCTTAAACAATCTTAAATTTTATCTGGTTATTGTCATATTAAATTTCAAATTGTATATTGATGTCCCTTGCTCCTGAGATAAGAAGAAACCCTCAGCTTGCTGGCATTTCACAAAGTTGCGGAGACCATACTGTCCCAACAGGCTTTTGGTGCAGACCAGTGTTTTTCAACCTTGGCTGGCTGGGGAATTCTGGGAGTTGAAGTCCAGACCTTTTAGAGTTGCCAAGGTTGAGAAACACTGGTGTAGACAGGGACCTGGGATGCATTTGAGGTTTTTATTACATGAATTAGGAGGTTTTATTTTTCTATTATATAAACCTACTTGTTCCAATACGCATCATTTTATGTTTCCTTTCATTTGATATCATTTGCATTTTGTTACAACAATCAAATTTGAAGATATATATTATATATAAAGTATACAGTACACACACACACACACACAGTGCATTTGGAAAGTATACAGACCCCCTTCACTTTTTTCAATTTTGTTATGTTGCAGCCTGATACTACAATATATAAAGTATACAGTACACACACACACACACACAGTGCATTTGGAAAGTATACAGACCCCCTTCACTTTTTTCAATTTTGTTATGTTGCAGCCTGATACTACAATATATAAAGTATACAGTACACACACACACACACACAGTGCATTTGGAAAGTATACAGACCCCCTTCACTTTTTTCAATTTTGTTATGTTGCAGCCTGATACTACAATCGTTCAAATTCATTTTTTTTCTCATTAATCTACACTCAGTACCCCATAATGACAAAGTGAAAACATAATTTTAGAAATGTTTGCAAATGTATGAAAAAGGAAAACTGAAATATCACATTGGCATAAGTATTCAGAGTTAAGGGAGAAAATATACATATCCATATTCTTCTTCTTCTTCTTTTTTTTGGTAATATTGATGTTCTTTACCTACTACTAGTAATTAACTATAATGTAGTAAGAAAATATTAAATAATTACATTGAACAGTAACTATTTCATATCTTTCTAAAACTTAGTATTTAGAATCTACTGGTGTTATCACACTTGTTTTTTTTTATTTGCTAATTTTGGAACATATATTTAGAATTAGTACTGAACTCCAGAATATGCTTTCATATTAATTTCATGTAAAGTAACCAGAAAGCAAAAGATGACTTTAACCACACATGGAATTAGGTTTGTACAGAAAATCTACGTTTAACATATAGGGGATGGATGAAAATAAGGACATGAGACAATGTGGCTTTAGAAAGCCTTGCATTATGTTAAACATGTTCCTACCTGAGTACCCAAACATGCAACCATCATATGAGTAAGGAGTTTAGCAGCAAACATTGATGTTCTCGTACATAAGAGGTATGAAAATATAGCCAAGATGAAGCCTGTTTTAACAAAACAAAGCAGGAATGATACTTAGAATATAATTAATCAATCAGCCAAAACATAAATCGGAGGAAAATTGTAAAACAAGAACCTTAATCTATGAAAACCAAGTTTAATTCAGATCATTTCACAAATTCCAGACCAAGGGTATCCACAGCAAGACAGGGTTTTGTCCAAATTGGAAAATGAGGTCATGATGTACAATAGAAGGTCATGATGCCACAACACAATGTTACAACACAAGCCAAAAAGAGGCAGAGTTTGAGTTGCAATATTGTGATGCATTTTTAATCATTTCTGCCCCCACTTGTGTCTCTGTGGATAGTCATGTTCTTAACTTCTCCTGCTTCTAAGATATTTTCATAGCACTCATATTTTTATGGTGAATCACACATACTTTATAGAAAATCTCTGTGCTGGAATTCATAACCTGTATGATTATATATTAAAGTATCTTTATTTAACACAGAACTATTTATATAAACAAGCTATTGGGCTACTTTTGGAGGAAGAGTGGTATCATAATTAAACAAATTCCATTTTTTTAAAAATTTCAATGAGTTTTGTACTATTATCCTTCCAAGATTCATTACCTTTGTCAAATATAATTATCTTAGATAAACGTCTGAATTTTAAATACCCTACTAAAAATTTAGATTATATTAAACATCTAGATTTATAAAATCTAAATTTAGATTTAAAATATGTGTTAATATGTCCTATGTGTATGGAAGTAAAATTACAATTTTTAGCAGTAATCATTGGGCAAAAGTTATCCACTTTTAACTACTTAGAGAGAAATCAGTAAGTACTGAATTCTGAATAACTGGAAGAAAGTATATCAAATGAGACTTCTTTGGCTAATAGCTAAAGGAAGCATAAAATGTTTTATTTGCATTTTTCTCCCTGTTAAGATAAGGTCTTCTTTGAGAATATTATCAATATATACAATTTATTTTGATCAGGATTCAAATAATCACACAATTACTTTGAAGGATCCAAGGAAAAATTGGATTTGTAGGAGTCAGTTCTCTATGGCCTTTTGAAAGCAAAAAAACAAAACAAAAAAACAAACCTGGAGTAAAAAATGAGGGTCAAAATCTTCACTGTGCATGTCTAAAATAGCTCTCTAAACTTTCCTTATGTTCCTTACTTACATAGTGATTTTCTGAAAGAACTGCCAATGTTATCTATTTTTAAATCAATACATAATTCAACAATAATAATACTGTAACATAACTGACCAGAAATACAGATGAAACCAGAAGAAAAGAAAGCTTCATTGTAAGAAGAGAAGCTGTCTGTCTGTGCACTGGCTGCATAAACTGACATGTGTGAACACGAGCATTCCACGTAATCGGACGAATCATCCATCAGCTTACAGAATTGAGTATTAGACAGCCAGCTACAGGGGGAACAAAAATTAGCAGTTAATTTTTTATTTCTTAAATTGATCAGTAATGTCATAAAATATAAACAAATATTCTAAGAATTATGTTGGTCTATTACAGAACCAATGTGCTTTTGAAAATCCACCAGAATAAAGTTCCTTGTTTCATAAAACTTATTGGCTAGAGTGATGAATGATTGGCCACAAGGAATATAAAGTCCAGACAAAGTTTAGAATGTAAACTGATCGATGCCAAACTTTATGGGAAAGCATAGTTTTGTAGAGGTGTGGGAGACTTCCAAGACCTGAGAGAGTCTAAAACTGATTTTCTTAGCAGGGTATCAACCAAAGCTTCACAGCCTAATTCAAGCAGATGAAATTAAACTGGGTTAGTATGTCAAATCTTGGTCAGGAGTTAGAAAGCTCCTATATACCACCATATACAAGAGCTGTTACATGTCCATAAGTATGTTTTCAGACCCAAACCAGAAACCTGATGGGGCCTTGTTAAAGAACTCCATGTTTCCCTGATTTTATACAGGGAATCATGTAGAAGACAGTTATTCAAGGCCAGGAACACATTAAGAAGGAGGCATCAGGTTCCAATAAACTTGTTTCACCCTGTCAGTGCCTCCATATTTTCCACAATTCTTGACTCTGAGAATTGTGTGAGCCCAGGAAAAGGCACAGCTTCTTTAAGAAGGCACCAACAGATGCAGTGAGCACACTCACATCCTCTATGAAGCACACCCTTCACTTTGCATCCACATAGAAGCACATCACTAATATACGTACATTGTGTGTGTTTGTGTGATGGACACAAACACAGAGACATACAAAAGGAATAAGAAATATACCTTTCAGCAACCTGATTCCAAAGAAGACACAAAGACTTATGAGGAATGATATGGCTGTCTGTTGAATAAATCCGGTAGATGACCTCATTATTATCTTTTAGCTGAACTGGACTCTGTCCCTGCAAGCTCATTGAAAAAACCTGAAATGTGAAAGATGGATATTTTTTGCCTTTAAAATATTCACATGATTCTTATTTTACACTAAATATTCAAATCTATCTTATTCCAAGCAGGCCATCAGTAAATCCTGAAAAGATAGCAATTCTCTATTAGGTATCTAATAGATATTATTAGTCTCTATTAGTTTGAAGTATTTCCCCACTATCCTTCCCTAAGATACACTGACTAAAACTTCATAATGCAAAGATTTGCTCTACTGCAGAGATACTGACCTTGCATCTGCTTTCTAAAAAAGAGGTTTAAATTCCATCTCAGACAAAATGTCAAGAAGATTTGAATCCATATCTTATGGATGCTAAATTACAGAACCAGAGTGCCCTTAATATTATTAATTCAATCTTTGCTTTAAGAATGTAATCTTCAGAATCTTACACATGTGATGTAAGCATGTATAAAAGCATATACTTTCAAACAATTTATTTATTTACTAAGATTCTGTGTAGCTTACTGCCTCCTTAAATTAATAAGATTAAAAACCTAGAAATAACAAGAAACAGCAAAAACCCAAGATAAACTCTTCCAACAACAATAAAAGGCACTCACACTTTGTGGTTAGTCAATATTCCATCTATTCTATCCATCTCCAGAAGAGCTCTTTTTAATGCTCTTTGAAACCTTAACAGAGATGGGACAGTCCTTAGATCTGTGAGGAGGTTATTCCAAAATAAGGAGGGACATCACTGAGAAGACATGAGATTGGAGTCCCTGAAGATGGCATTCCCTTGGTGGAGGGTCCCTTAACATACCTTCTTCTCAATGGTCTTACTAGATAGGCTGATTCCCCCTGCAGCAGGCAGCCCCTGACATACCCAGGCTCTAAGCCATATATGGTTTTAAAAGATGTCAGCAACACCTTGAATTGCATTTGAAAACTGGTAGCCAACACAGGTCCAGCCATGCAGATGTTACATGGGCAAACCTTAGTATGTCCATGACTATCCAAGCTGCCACACGCTTACTCAGCTGCAGCTTCCAAAGGGTTTTCAGTGGCAGCCTCATGTATAACAAGTTGTGATAATCCAACTATTGGTTGTACCCTTTTACATTTACACAAGTTTTATTGTACAGTAAAGCTATAATTATGTCCATGCATTTCTATATGGATTCTCACTGAAGTAAGCAGCAGTTCTGAATAAACATGCATGAAATCTGAGTATAAAAGTAATTCTGTTAAGGTTGGGTAGCACTTTGGATTCCAAGGAAGGAATGTGTTTCGAGATATGGGTGACGTCCACATGGCATTTGTCAGAAACACTTAAACCAAATGTGTCTTTTCCTAGAATAGTATGGCAGCTGCAGAGGTCAGCTGTGCAAACCCAGAAAACACAATGTTTTAAGGTGTTCCTGACAGGTGCATTCCCACGTGTGCTCTGAATCATATATTTTCCTTTGAATCTGCAGCACTGCATCATCCTAAATTGTACAAATCAATGTGTCATAAGCTCCAATTGATTTTTTCCTAGTAAAATGTTTTAAGATATTCAATTGATCTTCATTTATAAGTGTCATTCAAAATCCACACCATCACTCAGAGTTGCTCATGGAACTCAAAATTCGGAATCTAGCATTTCCTAAATAATAGCAATTACTAGGTTTCATCTATCTTATGTAAGGTTCATAAATGTGTCTCTGACAGAGCAGCTGAGGTTGTAAAACCTGATAGCTAGGTCAGTGGAAAGCAATGGCTCCCCAATTATTTGTGAAACTTCCTTATTGATTCTGGCAGCAGATTCTCTTGCAATACTAACACAGGCCCAGTGTGCTATCACAGGCAGTGAGACAATGAAAAGCCATTATGCAAGCAATGAGAATCAAGGTATAGCAGGACAAATCAGGATTAAAGAGATACATGCACAACCCTTTTTCGTGAACAAGGTTCATGTATCATCAGTTTTCTTTGATATTCTACATAAGCCATATTTGCTTGCCAACCATAAGCAAATATTCTTACTATTTCCTATATCCAAATCATGCACATGATGTTGTGAACTATGAAAAGCCATTGAAACAATAGTCTGCTACTAATATGGCTGCTGATTTAGATGAAATTATATTAAAATATTTTTTAAATTCAATATGTCATAAATGAAGTGAAACAAATACAACCCAATCTTATAAAGGCAATAAAATGAAAGAATTTTGAACCAGATGAGTACCTGGATGTAAGATGAATGGGAACAACATATAAGGAACTTTGAAATTTCTAATGAAACAAAACACACAGGATATTGGTGTAATAAATAGTTTAACAGTTTACCTTATTTTTTAGGGCAATTCCTCTACCATCCGCTATAAACCATTGCTGGCTACTATATTCAGTGACTTGAATGAACCTACAGGTTGCATCATTAGAATGAGATGAAGTAGGAACTTCCAACAAATGGTCAGGAACTCTAATGAAATCCCCATCTTTTCCATCAAATCTATGTCCATTGATTTGTTGTGGATACCAGTGATGGGACGTGATTTCAATATAAGGGCAATGGTCAAGAATGGTTTTACCTCTGTTAAAACAGAACAGTAACAAGCTTAAGTACAGTAATCAGAAAATTATTATCTGTAGGGAAAAATGTGTAGTAGCTCATGCCTGCTCATGGTTATTGATTTATTAGCTCATCAGCAATAAAATGAATAATGTATAAAATATTAATTTATCAATAATTACTGTAATGTCTTCAGGCTTCAGTTCAGAAACCTTTAAATGTGACAGGAAAAAAATATGTGATCCTGATCTTGAGTGCTGAAGGATTCATTTCATAGAATGTTAGACATCTTGAACAATTTGCCTATTTTGCACATTAAGATACAGAAGTGTGCTACATACACAGATCTGCAAATAGTCTTTAACATTCACATTGCTGTTAACGTGTGCTCAGTACATATGTAGAAAACATCTTACCTTTCACCCTGTGAGCCACACATTACACCAACAAGAAGAGAAAAAGCAAATTTCTCAGTAATATCAGCAAGGAAGCTGTAGCCTCGAGTATCCTTGCGTTTGGGGTTAGCAAGTGCACAGAGGATTTCATACAAAAGATTTCTGTTTTGATCAGTGAGTCCCTGTATTTCTCCTTCAGATATTACCTTGAGAAGCAAATATTTGAAAAAAAAAAGTTAAGTGCATAAAAAGATTCAATTCTTTTATTCTGGGACAATTGGTGACAATTAAACATTTCAAGCACAAAATAAACACATGCCTAATAAATATTGAGAGTAAGTACCATTGATTTCAATAGAGCTCTTCTCCTGCTTAATATCCATAACTAAAACTCCGCAGAATACCAATCTTGAATACATTGGCGATAGCTTAAGCCATGATCAATGTATTGATATTTTTATGTTTTATGTATTTATATGTATTTATGGTTTTAACGTTGTGTGTGAACTGCCCAGAGTCCCCCATTGGGGAGAGATGGGCGGGGGAGAAATTTAATAAATAAATAAAATAAATAAATTTGACACTGACATTGTATATCATCTGCTTTCTACTTCATTTCAGTTCAACAGCTGGATGAGTAACCCTCATCTAAGCAGGCAAATATTGCTTATAGATCTTCTACACAAAATGCATGTATTTCTGTTTTCAGAAACAAAGCCATCATTGGGTCAAGGCTTTTACCATTCTGACCTCATCTTTCAAAGAACATGCCCACTTCTAATTCTATGAAATCATTAATCACTGTAGAAGGGAGAACCAGATAAATACCTTATCTATGATATACATCATAGCAGCAAGTTGCTCTTCTGTACTTTCTGTGACTACTTTGATATTTAAATGCTGGAGGATTGTGTTCAAAATAGTATCATCAAGTGGTTGGAACAACTGATCTGTAAGACTCCAGAGTGCTTGGGAGTTTGAATCAGAGACAATGGTGATGTTGGCGATACCATAGATGCTATCAACTCTGGCACCTCCTGTAGGATTGAACAGCATAACTTGGAAACGTTTAGGAAACAGATTCAGATATCCAGTCTTTGGGATGAGTGTTATACTCAGAAGAGCATTTCTCTGTCCAGATTCAAAAGACAACATTCCTTCAGATGCAATAAAATCTTGTCCAGAAATGGCAGGTGATATGATTACATGACCAAGAGCTTCAGGTCTCAACAGCTCCTGGAAATCAAGAAACAAATGTTTAGGTAAGAAATTAATTATATTGCAATTTGTAAGAACAAACTTGCTTCAACATTTCTAAAGACTTCAGTCCATGACAGACACTCTGTAACACTATGTTTTAGCATCTCATCTATCTAGCCCAGACTTATGTATTCTGGCAAAAAATGCTGTATCACCAAACTAGAGAATTTTCAAATCTTTAAATTGTCTACTATGGTTGGTAAAATGGTTTAGAAACTAGCTACTCCCACACTTTCAAAACACAGGAGTATTAATTCTAAAGATAGGTCTTTCAAAGGAAAGTGAAGTGCTTTAGGCATCACTTTGAGCAGGCAAGAGATGAACACTGGAACTGATATCTAAATGATGCAACAGTAGTTTTTAAACTGTTGGCCCTTCAGTAGGCAGGACATGAGGCAAAAGGTGGCTGGGTCCATACTTTATACATATACAGTTGTTATTTTTCACTAGTTTATCAACTCCCAGAATTTACAAAAGGTATTGCTGGCTACTCAGCAGCTAGTCACCTGCCCAATACTAATCAGGGGAAATTTCCTGAGTTAACAACATGGAAGTCATTTGCCAGCTCAGAATGGCATCTTCTCCTGCAGCAACTAGGCAGATTCAATCTACATCTAGGACCCTAATATTTCCCTTATGCATCCATGTTTCAATAGCACAAGATCTTACATGTGTATGTTCAGTTGATATATATACAATGCACATGCACCTACTGTAGGTAAAAGGACATTGTTTGTAAAAGATTATAATAATGTAATTGCTATTAATTTATAACCATCAAGAGCTACTGGTCAGTGGCTAAGAGGAGAAAGGCCAGAAAAGCCCATAACTCAGCTGAGTTTATATATATGAAAGCAATAGATAGTAGACAAAATGGAGGAATGCATTTCTCTCAATAAAACTCAATAATATCTGAATGAAAGGAAAATGATCATTGTCCTCTATATCCCAGAAACTACTTAATCTTGTGGTCTGGCATTTTGAGTTATTAGATCTAAAACCTTCAATAAACCCAGCTTGCAAAGATTCCAAACCACAGATTATCTATCTTTTGTTCAGTTATTTCCTTTATGGGATACGATGGAAGAAGGCTTTCTGTGGCAAAAGCTTGTATTTAATATATGTAGAATAATTCATTGACTCTAATAAAAATCTTGAACACTTTAGTCTACCTATCTAGATGTAGATAACTATGTTTAATTTCCAATTCTCAGCCAGAAAAGCTTCAGATTTAGTCCTAGTGACAATACCTCTCTGAAGAGGAATAGAGAAAGAGCAACAAACTTGCCATAGAATTGCCACTAGGGTTATGCAGTGTTTTACATTTGGTTGTGAAGATGTTCTTTCGAATATGTGGGGGTGTTAATGCAACTTCTCTCTGCAATTTATTAAAGTAGCAACTATTTCAATTCTTGACAAAAGAGATAACATGTCATGGTGGCTCTGTTGATGGCTATATGAAATACAGATAAGGTGGAAGAAAATTTTCAGTATCCAGAAAAGGCTCAGGATAACAACTAATGCTATCTAATTTCCACATAGATCTGAGAATCAAGATCAGACTGAAGGAATCTTCTAACAAACTGTAATCCTGTTCTCTATGGTTACTAGGCTGGCTGGTCTGGAGACTCTATTATGGAAAACCAAAATGAATCCTGGCTACTTATTAGGGCCACCATATCTGGCTGCACAAAACTGGGCAATCATAAGATGACAGCAAAGGGTTCAATTTTTCTGTAACTATTTGCTACCATGCTAGAGGCTTTTTGTAGCCATACCATTCCAGAAAGAGGGACTAACCCAAAGTGACAAATGTCCTCAATGAAACTCAGAAGAGTAATCTTTCACTTATTCTGAACAAAATAATCTTGCAGTTTTTTTTTCATTGAATTCCAGTGCATACTTATGTTTCAATTTTCTATTGTTCCCTCATACATCCTCAGCCATCTAAGGCAATGAAATAGTGACTATTTCAAAACCACTTAAATGAGTAACTTTGCTGAAGGTGGTTTGAAACCAGTTCTCCTAAATCCAGATCAACTATACTGCACTGATTTTTCAAAGAACTGCTATTGTTAGATGAAACCTACAGCTTACTGACTTCAGTTGTAACTTCTGGAATTTCAGATGGGCACTGATTCTTCCTATGAATAAAAGAGGTAAACTAGCCTTTAGGCAAACATGTACTAGGTAAATACATCTTTGATTGATTTCAGAACAAAAAGATCTATCCAACACTTAGGAAGAGAAAAAGTTTCCATGTTGTTAGAAACCACTATTCTAACTTGCAACTATTCTACAAAGAATACTAAAATCCTTTGTATGAGAGAATTTTTTGCTTGGGAGAAGAAATGAGGACATGACAAAATAATATACTCATGCGAAAAATCAGAAGTCTGATAGCACCTTTTTTGACTAACAAATTTTATTAAAAGGCATCAGCTTTCATGAGGTGCAGCTCAATTCATCAGATGAATCCTGCAATGTATACTCATGCATCAATCTTACCTGAGTTCTGTAGCCAACTGAGATAGCAAGTGCTGTGCTAGAATCTCTAACCACTTGGAGACTAATTGAAGTGGTCTTCATATGGGCCACGGCCAGACGAGACCCCACAGCAAAGGAGATGAGATCCTTCTGAGCAGAATCACTCTCTGGAACTATAATGTGTGCAAATCTGGCACTCTTGTTTAAAGCTGCTCCTTCTCCCACTTCATAGAGTTCCACAAAAAAACAGGTCTCAGATTCAGCAACCTGATAATCAAAACAGATATTCAAAGGACTGCACTTTTTCTGATCAAAAGGAATATACTCCCAAATGTAATTTTGCTGTATTTTGTGCAATGAACTTTTCAGATCATGGGACTACCCTGTGTTTGGCTTCAGTCCTCTTAGAAACAGCTGCTCCTTGGAATCTGGATAGAAATCCTGGTGTTCCCTCATCAAAATCATTCATGTAACTTGTTTGAGAATCATTAAAATGTCATTCTAACACTGGGAAAGTACACATGTATAAATGAACTCTTCAATGGAAATTAACAATCATTAATTTTATGTTTTTTTCAAACTTGCTTCAAGCTACAATTGATAACTCTCTTAAATTTTTTTCTAAATATGTAGAAAAAAAGATAAGAGAATTAAATGTTCCCGGTTTTCAGAGTGAAAGTGATCTCAAGAAGTCTGCGAAATTATGAAAAAAATCATCTGACAACCATTTTATACGATAAACATTGTGTTTATTTTCAAAAGGCAATATTTCAACTCAGGATTTAAAATCCATAGTTGATAATCATAAGCAGGTTTCTTACACTATCACAAAATGTAATAATGTGAACAATGACCATCTTGTTAACAGGAAAGAAGAGAACTAGGTTCCAATTTCACATACTCCTTCACATAACCAATTCCTGAAGTGCTGGCAAAGAAGTCTCTCCTCTTCAAAAGCTTGGACCTCCTATACACATGATGAGTTTTTAAGCCAGAAGAAACTTGATCATCTCATAAAATTTAGAAAATAAGGGCAACCCATTTCACTTTTACTTCAGTATTTTTTTTTAAGTATTATTTTTTCATCTGGGCTCAGATCAGCTATGGATCTGCTGCAGTGAAATTAGCAAATTTGTTCCCTTCAGGATTTGTGAATTTTTTTTTAAATCGCTAATGGAAAATCTTCTATGCTGTCTATGAAGTTGGTTCTAAAGATTCTTGGTCTTTGGAATATAAATGCTATTTAAAAAAGTAAAAAGTATCAGTACAATGTCTGAAATCCTAGAATTTTCCAATGTTCTACATAGAACCCCATTAGGGGACAGATTCCCACTGCTGTGATCTCACACAGATCACAAAGGCAAAGATCCAATATAGAGGATTCCTTCCTAAGTATAAAAAATTGTGCTGCTTTATACTAATAGCTCAGATAATATGATAATGCAAACATGGAGTATTCTCCAGCTTTTCATCATTTGATCACATTCTAGCATATGTGGGGGGAGAGTAGTTAGGAGAGATAACTAATTCATTATAAGTACTCACATTATCAGGCCGGATCTCAATATAAACCATGCATTGTATTTGGCCAGCGTTACAAGTGGTAATCCCTATGACAGCTATCAGTTCTTTTGCCAGATCGGTGCCATTAGTCTGCAGGACAACTGATGTTCGATTAAAAGTCACACGCCAAGACACTTTCACATCTTCAAAAGCCCTATCAACAAAGCAAACCAGAATAAATGCACTGATGCAGGCAGCCATTGGAAAAGTCTTTACCCTAACATACATTTTATTCTTTTGCTTTCCAAATTTACCACAGCAAAATGGTGTGTTAAAAAAAAAGAACGATGTTTTCACTATTATCTTCAATTACTTTCTGCTTGATTATCTCTTAAACAAGCTGTTCAGTTTTAATTTGTAGGATTCACTATTTTTCAGTTATGCCTCTGTTTCTTAGCTGTGGTCTTATATAATCCTCATGAAATATCTGGAAAAATGTATCAGTGAGCAGCTTGAAGAGAAACAGTTGATTAGCTGAGGATCTAATTACTTAAAAATGAAGACCAACTAGAGATTCTTAATATCAGATAAACTAAATTCATATATATGAATAGTTGAATTGTATCCCTGCTGTTTGTTATTCTGTATTTGGAATGTTTTTTGGAGCTATGTTCTTTAAACTGGAATTTTAACAGCAATTGTTGTTTTTGTACTGTTGCTTGGAATTAATAATTGTCTGCAATTATATACTGAAATGTTTCACACATTGATGATGGATGGATGGATGGATGGATGGATGGATGGATGGATGGATGGATGAACGGACGGACGGATGGACGGACGGAC